AAAAAAGTAGACGTTTTCAAGATTTTAAAGATGAAATAAATTTTTTGCTTCGAATGTGGAAATATCTTAAGGTGAAAGCTTACCAAGGAAGTAGAACGATGATAATTTTAGAGGGATAAAGTATTAAGATATATATTCATTTAGCTCATTTTCATGTTTTTGATTATATTGCAAAAATGTTCATGAGATTTTATCTTACGGATAAAATTCTCACATGATACACAATATGGAAAAAAATATTTGAAAAATAAGGTGCTACCATATCATGAAGTGAAATGCAGCAAATGCTATTGCAAATTTTAAAGCAGTGGACTCTCTTCAAATTACAAGAATGAGATTGTGGATATTGAAACAGAAATGAGATTTTAATGAGTATATTGAAAAATTTTGTGATCTTCAAGTATCTATCATGGATATGAGTGGAGAAAATAGTGTTGAACATGTTCAAAGGAGACTTGAAAGATTGCACTGAATCATGTGGCAAAATTCAAAATTCAAGTTGATTGATGAAACAATATGATACATGCCAAAAAGGAGTATGAAGAAATCACTTGGGCATTACAAACTGGGAAGGTAGAAAAGTCCCGAGGTTTGAAGTTCTACAAGCACAGTACATGAATTCCACAAGATTAGGAGTTGTGCACAATGGGTTTAACCAAAAATCATGACACAGCCATTGCAGATCATGTGGAAGTAGAGAAAGACATGAAGAGCATAAAACTAATGTACTAATGGTCCAAAATACAAGAGTATGTGGAGTCTTACGTTTGAAATTGTGTTGCATGTCGACAAAGTAAATCAAGTAATTAAAAACTAGATGATCTATTAAAACCTCTTCTTATTCTCGAACAACGGTGGTAACATGTCACCATGTATCTTGTATGTGAGTTATCAAAGATTTTTTTAGTACATGATTCAGCGGTGGTTTTTGTGAAAAAATTGAACAAGATGATTCACATCAAGCCAATCACAAAAATAGTATTAGCTCCATAACTAGCTCAATTGTATCTATATGCAGTTTTTGTGAATCATAGCTTAAGAAAAATGTTAATAACGGATACATGTACTCACTTCACTAGCTTATTTTAAAAAAGTTTGTTTAGTTTTTTAAACAAAACTAACAATGTCAACGACGTATCACTTTTCAAACTAATGGGCAAATAGAGAGGGAAAATAGAATCATAAAACATATGCTACAAGCATTCATATTAAAAGAACAAGAAGGGTGTACTCCATTTTGACTCTTGTGAAATTTGCATATAACAATTCTATTAATGCATCCATAAAAGTGTCTCTATTTTACCTCATGTGTGGTGTTCATCATAGAACTACTTTAAGCTTGATGAGACTTCCTAAAAGAGATGAGTTTTTAATCAAGATTGGAGCATTCAACAAGTTTGTGAAGCATATTGATATAGTACTACATCAGGCCAAGGAAAAATTGCTGATAGCTCAAAATTAGTAAAAACAACATGCATACGTTCATCTTAGATATGTTGATTTTTGATGTAGAATATCATGTTTGGCAATCTACAACAAATATTTTTTTGTAGTAACATCAAAGTTGAACAAGATTTTTTGGTCAATTTTTTGTTTTGAAACGTGTTGGTGAAGTGTCATACAAGTTGGATATTCCGTCACATATGAAAATCTATCCGAATTATCATGTGTCACGATTGCAAAAACATGTACCACGATCAAAACAATTCACCAACATCACCTACTTTTCCAACCTTGATGGTTGATCATGAGGAGTTTGAGGTAGAGAAGATACTCAAGAAACGTATTCAAACTCATAAATATCCTAAAGTAGATTATTGGAATTAACGTGAGAACTAGCTAAAAAATTAGCAAAAGCATCTTTGATAGTTCAGGAGTTTGAACGTATGTGCAACGAAAACGTTGCATCTTAAAAATAAGGAGGTTTATAATCATCTTTAGTTAGTTAAAAGTAAAGTAGTGGTTACTTAAAATTGATTATAGTAGATGAAAGTGGAATATCTACAGTGCCATGTCAGTAGTCCGTGTGCTAGTTACAACAACACGTCATCAATCTGTCTACTCGTTAGATAAGGATTGAATATGTTACCAACTAACATATTCAGCGACATGTGAACAATCCTTGTGCTCATAAGGTATATCTGCCATGTCACCATCCATTATGAGTGGATTTGATGATGAAAAAATCACCTTATCTTCATTTATGTGTTTGAAGTATCTATATAAGGAAGAGTAGAATGATTCAAGGATTTTATCTTCAAAGTTTATTTTTCATCTACAAATGAGTTCCTCTCTAAACCCTAATGTTATAATGAAATAACATTTGTTAATAAAAAGCTAAAGAATGAAGAAACAAACCATTTTTCATGAAAATCTCAAGATAGATTATATAATCAGACATCGGAACTTTCTCAAAGAAGTCACATGTACATGAGACAATGCACACACAAAGCGAACACTAGAATTAGATGATTTACATATGTGTACTATGTTCTTGGAAATATCTAACGCAATAATTTCAAAAAAATCCCAAAAAATGTAATTGATAACTTTGATCAGCTCTTTTATATAGTCACAGTCTAAGAAATTTAAAATTGTAAGGTCAAATAAACTTAAAAAATAGCAAATCATGTGAGTTAAGTCAAAATCTAGCACCGGACTTTTACATTAAAATCATTTTATGTATTCAAAAAACCCATTGATGATAAGAGAAAATAAAATTTCATGATTGTGTAAGTAATTGATTGATGTGACTTTAATTCTTTTGTATTCATTAAAAATAAGTTTCTACCTTCATGATTATAATAATTTATGTAAATGACATTTATATAGCAACTGAAAGAAGATTTGATATTGATAAGCTCAAAGGTTTTTTCTAATATGAGTTTAAGTGAAATTTATTGGTCCAACAACAAATATCATAGACACGAAGATCCAAAAAAAAACTGAAGTATGGAAAGTTATGATTAACTAATGCCAAATGTACTGATTGGTTATTTGCAACATTTAACTTGAAAAACTGCAAAGTTGTGAGTAAATCTTGAGCTCTTTATTTAAAAAATCTAAAAACTATTTGTTTGATGAATGACGTTAAAAAAAATGAGTGTGATGCAAAATTTCTTTTGTGTTTGATGCAAAATTGTTCAATTATATTTTAGATTGATAACATAAATATTGACTACAAACTAGATCTACAATCAAATCCGACCTACTATAGATATTTAAAGTTCGATGCATTCTTTGATCATTTGTAGCTTAATTCATTACATAAGTTGGATATGTAGTGCCATCACAAAAAATCAAAGAGTGACTTTAATTTGATGTACTTGTCACTAAGATGAAATGAACGCTTAACATTGTGAAACTTAATTGTGATAGTCAAAATACTTTACATCTAGCGATGAATAAAATGATGGACTATAAGGTATAACACATATAACATGTATAATTTTTTCAACTAGTTGTTTTTGATATAATGATTGATTTAGTTAAGTGAACTTAATTGTGTTCATGAATTTATTTAGATGATTTTAATGAAGAGTTTTTTCACGACATGGTTTCATATTGTAGGTTTTGCATATCGGTACAAACAAAGTAAACTAGCAATTCTTAAATCTCTGCATATAATTTTACTTCATCAGATTTTAATAATTGCTTAATTGTAGTTTATTCTGGTTCAGATAATATCCATCTTAGATCGTCTTTCAGAATTGATTCTAGATTATTTATTTAGTTTTTGGATATTAAAATCTCCAAAATATGAATGAATGAGTAGAGTATTAGGTGTTAATTCAAGTCTTGATTATTTGGGCTAGTAAACCATGGTGAGATAGTTTAGTTAGCATGTGATTATATAAGAAAATTGATTGAAGGTCTTAATGATACAATTAGGGGTTTAAATTATTTTTCCATGGATGTAATTCAACAAGAGTAAATCATAAATTTTTTTGGTCTTATTTTGGTTGTGTGTATCTTCAAGATGCTTTTTTCTTTAGTTATGATCTCACAATCAACTGAATCAAAAGATAAGCATCAATTTTCATAATTTCACGAGCTAGAATATATCTATAGTCCTAATATATTGCCTTAAATGCTTGATTGAGGATTATCATTTCATGACTAGACTCATGAACTACCAGTTGCCCATAATTTGATATGTTACAACCAACATGAGCCAATTTTCATGAAATGTCACTCATAATGTAGCTATCGTCTATCCTAAATGTATAAAAGTTTTCATCAACACTAATTCAATTTTAGTTAAGAGTAAAGAATACTAACAAAGGTTTTGAAATATTTATATATTTGATTTTTCTAATCTTTGATCAATACATTTTTGGTTCTTGCTCCTTTATCTTATCGTTTAGCTTTTGCTTTTTCCTTGTTTTTGAAAATTCATTATGATATGACTTTTTACTCAAGCAATCTTTGACCAGATAGCTCTTATTAAAATTTACATGCATTTTTTGTCTTTGGGCTGGACTTTTTTCCTATCATAAATTTGTTTCATCTAAGCGAGGTGATATGGATTATGAATGGGAATTTACATTTTTCATACTTTCCATGATAAATTTTCAGGTAACATTTGTGGTTCTCAAGAATTTTGTTTCAATTTGAGTTTTATCTTCTTAGACCATTTTCTTTTGATGGCTTGAAAAATATACAGTGATTTAGGTCCAGTTTTTTTTCATGATGTTATCAATATTAGCTTCAATTACTAATTATTTTCCCTTGTCATGCTCAATATGACTCTATTTGAGAATCACATTAGGCCATTCGCTGTTGGTTACTACTATGTCCATGCAAAGTGTCAAAGTTCCATAGAGTGCGACGCGATGAGTGGATATTATAAAAAATATCCGTACAACTGTGCTCGGGTAGTGAAGAAGATTGTGAATATAACGATATGTATGTCCGGATGCACTAAATTGCACAAGAGTAGTTGGACTAGGACTAATATATAAAATTGAACCAGGCTTGGCAGTTGAAGCAACGAACAGTGCAGGTAAGAGCTCAGATTTGTCACATTCCCCGTATTCCAGAGCGAGGACGAGGCAACATTCAAGACTCATCAAGATTCGATCCAAATGACTACTTCCAGTGAAGTGCGACGTGCACTGGAGAAATTGCACATCGATGTCGGTGCTAATGAGCAGCATATCTTTACCGTGCATGAAGAACATGAGAATATGGATGAAAGTCCCAACCCACAGTCGGAGAAGGAAATACATTGCCCTCGTTCAGAGCAAGGGAAGAATAAGGAAACAGCTGGCCTTGAATCTGTGAGTCCGCCTCCGGAACCCGTGAAGCCGAGGTCCGGAGCTAAGTGGAGGAGCTCCAAAGGGAAGACGTTATGCGAACCCGATACTGGCTCGAGGTCGTCGAAGAGTCATCCTATCCAGGCAATTGAAGCCTCGTTGAGAAGGTGGCTTGTTTATCTCGAAGGGCACGAAGTGAGTGCGTCGTATGCAGATCTTTTGCTGCTTCAGGCTTGCGCGAAGCGCTTCATGGACCTGGTGGACTTCTACTTCCTAACTCTCGTTGATTTACTGATGAAAGGATCTCAAGTCTTTGAGGAGTCGGGAGTAAATTTGCAGGATGGGATAGCTTTCCCGCCGCCATCAGCATTGAAACTCACACCTACCGAGAGGTCCAAGGTGGATATGCCTATTTTCAAATCCAGATACAAATGTCGATCGCATGCAAGTTCTTCTTCTACGCAGAGTTCGAATCCGCCAACAGGAACTTCCATCGGAGGAAGTTGTGGGAGGAGAAACGACTTGCATGTATTGCAGGACTGGCTGACTGATGGAATCGACTATCTAGAGAACGAACCTGTCAAGGTCTTCTATGAGGATTTCCAAGTTCTTCATGCCACCACAAAGAAGCTCGTCGAACTTCTGGATTCTTATTTCAAAGATCTCGTTGATACACTTCTGGAACGGTGTGCTATCCGCTCTGAACCTGAATAGGCTTATATCGAAGCGCGGTCGTCGAGAGAACTAGCTCCCAGTCGCTGTAGTCAAAAGACAGATCCAGAACGGTTACTCTCAAAAGCTTTCAGAAAAGCTGCTCCGTAAAACTAAGTTCCTTTGTATCAGTCAATCTGATCGGTTAAAATGATCGTCCTTGCTGGTCCACATGAAGAAAGTTGCTGTTAACGAATGCATTTCATCTTGTGAAGTCTGGATCTCCCTCAGCATCTGGAGCTGAAGAATTATTTTAGTTCAGCTATGAAGCCATGTTCAAGATACAGCTCACCTCCAGATAATCAAGCGACCGAGGAAGTTTTCTGTTAACACGGCATTCCAATACAAGGCTCTCGTTCAGTGTCACTCAACTGATAGTGACCTGCTTGAAATTCATTAGAGAGGGGTTTTTTTGTTATCTCACTACGGGAAGTTCTACCATTTGTCAACATCTGCTGAAGTTGAGTGATTCTCTAGTTCAGACGACTTATTCCAATTCCAGCTGAATCACATCCATGAGCCAACAACGCTTCGCTCATGAACATCGTAAACATCCTTGCATGATACCCAATAGACGACAATAAAATTAAGATTATCTGAATCAAGAGAGTCTATTTTGAATGTATGTAGTGCACTGGCTGCATGTGTCTAGTGAGGGAGTAGCCATACTGGAAACTTTCGTTGAAGCTTTAAAATATGTTTTTGTATATAACGTTATTATAAGAAGCAACTTCATTTCAGACCACTAGCACAGTAAAATGACTTCGCGGATTTAACTTGTAACGAATTATAAATATAAGTTCACGCATGTGGGAAGGGTGCATAGATTTTGGCCAATATCTATCAACATCAGACATTGATAGATTCGGCGCGTATATGGTTCCAGGTGGCACACAGAGCTAGAAGAATGTAACAGTTCAAAGAAATTCTACTCACAATTTAAGATGAAACTTTGAGTTTAGAGTACATAAAATGATATTATTGGCAAAATTATATAGATCAAATACATTTTACCGCATAAAGAAATGTAAAACCTGATTGTTCTATCACCAAGAAATGAATTCTTTATTTCAATATGAAACAATTTAAAAACTCTGATTTTTGTATGTATGTAAAAATGCTTTTTTAAAAATAGATCTATGAGAATTTTAGAAATTATATAATTTTCAAATTGAATATCATTGAATCATTCACATTTCATTTTGTAACTACTTTTTTTTTTCAAGATATATGGTGAGAAATTTTGTATTCTGATGTGCTTTATATTCATGTATTTGAAAATATTGAGTAGATTCAGTTTCATAAATTTGGATACATTAAAATTTCAGATAAGAGATTATGGATAACCAATTGCTATAAATATTTTTTTTAACATGGAATACTGGCATCTAACGTTGACACCATATATTAATGCCACCACATGACAATGAATTCAAAGAATAGACTAATGTCACTTTTTACTTATTGGAAAGTGAGTTCCAATAAAATACTATACAAAAAAATACATGTTTATGTGGAAAAATTGAAATATATTAAATATATGATTTCTTCAAAGATATACTTAAAGGAATTCTTTTTTAATGTCTTCATAGTATTCTATGCCTCTACAATTTGAAACTAAATTCACACAGTGATACATACTCTGATAGAAAATCTTCAAAATTTAAAATGAGTCTGTGTTGATAAAGACGCTGATGAATTGTTGTTATTAGATTGAGTTGAAGAAGGCATGTCCATACTTATTACTATAAATTTGTTACTTAATCAATCAATATACAATTCTGATTGTACCATTATATTTCTTTTTCACAATTAAGTATTTTTGAGACAAAATAAACCACAAGGATGGCTTTCTTTCATGATATGTGAAAGATCTAAAAGAAATGGTTGGTGCCCCTTTATACCACATTGTTACTCCATCATATCATACATGACAATGTTTCCATATCACAAAATTTTCAAAGTTAACAAAAAGAGGAGTATAGCGTAGGGGCAACATAAGCCTGTTGCAGATTCAAAGAGGTCTTTCTTGCCAGTTCTAACCTGCCATTAATTTCGCAAGAGATTAATGAAAAGTGTCATTTTCGTGTTGTATAGGGTAAGTTTATAGATGTACTCTTAGGACGGAACATGCCCACAATAAACCGGACCTTACTGGTGAGGAATGGACTTTGGCTGGCGATAATAATAAAAACCAAGATAAACAAGCTGATGCGAATGAGATTCTCCATCAGATTAGTAGGCGCATAGTCGACCTCCTATCGCAACCTAATCACGGTGAAAATTAGCTCGAAAATCCACAATTTGGATGCAAGTGCGTGTATTTGTACCCCCATGGCACACACCGTTTTTGCATGAGCAAAGAATGAGAAGCATCATGCATGTACAGATGATGATTGTAGTACAGACCGACGTCGCTTGGTCTAGCTCCGTGATAGTGTGCATGCTTGTGCTAGGCCTTGTCGTGGAGTTTGTTTTAGAGTAGCCTGTGAAGTACATCCACGAGGCTTCCAGGCAGAAATGCTGGCGAAAAGCACTTTCTGCTCTGCACCCGCAGAGCTCCGTCTCGTCCTTCATTTTACGATTTGCTGGGCAGAAGAAATTCCACCTGTTCCCGAGGGCGGTATGAGAGTGATGACATGCCGTCGTTCCCATGGATCGTCGTTGCCCAGCTGCGGGGTTCCGCTGCGTCTGTCAGAGGAGACCTTCAATGCTTCTTTTGTGACCTGAGAGATGTTCATCACAGTTGTCAGATGCTGTCAGAAGGGCATTTGACCCATCCCTTTACCGACTCCTCTTTCTTGACCTGTATGCTGCATGAGCACATCCACGAGTCTCAGTTCAGGCCGTTGAAAAGCGCCGGACGTTTATGAAAAATGCGGATCGCACTTTTGATGAGCTCCGTAGATGCTGTGTTTATCACGTCATGAGTGTTGAGGGGGTGACCGTGTCTACTGGTGTGATAAAACGTTTCGGATCCGTTAAAGTTGATCTTCCTGTAGAGGATCATGAAAATATTGTTTTGTTAAACACATGGCCTGTTGTTCAGTTGAAGCCTTTTACATCCTTCGTTTGTAGTTCTACAAAATAAATAGTTCTAACTCGACCACAAAAATCCACGTTTACTTTCTTTGGAGATGTGTTTTCACACGTTAACGGTATTGTATACTATCTCAAATCTTCACGATGCAGGGCATGGACTTCAGTGAGATGACGGTGTCTTCCATCTTGAATGTCATCGAACTTGAGACATTCATAGCAGAGGACATACAGCTTCCACCCGTCAGAGTTATGAGAGAGCCTCGGTATTTGCAGAAGATATCCGAGCACACGTTTGTTGTCAGGAGAGACATAGGAGGCTTGTCCAGAGAGTTGAATTTGGCGCACCTTGAAAAAGATTTGAGCAATTTGAGCAATTTGAAAGATAGTGGAAGGAAGCAACAGTTTATAAAAGGTTGCAGGTCTTGCACGGAGAAGGGAAAACAGAAGTGTGCGGATAATGTGGATGATTTCTCCACGTCTTCAAATTTTCTCCAGGAAATAGCTTCTCTACTTTCGGTACCTGCGTCAACAGAGTCCACGCAAGTTCATGGTCAAGAAACAGGATGCCTCGTAAAGAAATATCTTGAGATTGAATTTTCCTCGAATCAGGAAACTCAGACAAGGTCAAAATTTGAAGACAGGGTTTCCTCTGCAATTCGTATATCTTTGGAAAGATGGGTCGATTATTTAAAAGTTCATACGATGAACTGTTCGTATGAAGATCTTCTCGAGGTGCATCTCATTGCGAATGGCTTTTTGAAAAGGGTGGAGTTCTACTTCTTGAGTCTCGTTGATTTACAGATGAAAAGCTCGCAAATCTGTAAAGATATCCACGTGGATTTCAGGCAAGGTGTCTCGTTCCCACCTCTAGCAACTCTGCATTTTGATGCATCGATCGAAAATCCTCGACCGCAGTCGCTTTCTCTTCAGCAGGGGAAATCGCATTCGGATACCAGGAACACGAAGAGCGAATTAGAAGCAGTACGGTGGTGGTTAAAAGATGCTATAAATTACTTCGAAACGCAGAGAATCACTGCTTTTTACGAGGAATTTCGAATGGTCCGAGACACTGCGAGAAATCTGGTGGAGCTTTTGAAATTATTTCTCCGTGATCATGTAGATCGGATGTTGGAAAAACTCTTTCCTGTTACAGAGTGATAGATAAAAGCGATCAGATAAACCTTTTGTGCTCTTTTGTTCCGTGTGTAGATATTTTCAAACCCAATGATTGACTAATTAGACTGAAAGACTGCAACCGAATTGCATCACAGGAGCGTATCCTTCCGTATTACAAGCTCAGGTTTGTTCTGGCCAGTTGTGCACGCCTGCCAGCGTCGCTAACAATACGGATACCCTGAGGACATTGATTATAGTAAGGATGTATCTATATAGGTTTCTTGTGACTGACATGGAATAAAATGCAAAGCAAGTCAGGTTGAGAGGTTTTGTGTACGTTGAGAAATATTTATCTACGTTGAGACACTGTGGAATTACATAATATCTTTAAAGTGAAAATCATATCAGATGTAAATAATTATGGGCTATTGATATGCTGTGTGACCCGTATCGTACCGCTTCCGTTCCAATTAAAGTAAGAGAAATGGGCTTCCTTTTAGAGATGAGCAGTTGCTGTGGGAGAATTCCTATGTAACTGAGTAACACCAACTCTGCCAATGTCTGCGTGTCAGCCCACATCACATGTAACGTTTCCGCTTGCATATATATATATATATCCGAATCTTCAAGATAAATTGCCGAATAAGAAATAAATAACAGATCCAGGTATTATTACCAGTACTGTACTTATTGAGAAACCTTCTCAGTAGTACCAAAACAAAGAATTACATATTGAACTGAAGTAGCAAGAAGCCAGCAGGGCAAGGGGCACTCGGGGAAGGGAAAAAGTCAGACAATTAGTCCAAGCTATGATGCATTGCAGGACAACCAGGCATTTATAGTTCGCACTCACCGTCCTGCTGGACTACGCTAGAGCTCGATGTTTCGCGAGGATGGATAATCGCATTCCGCGGTCAAAGAGATGCTAAACAGTTGGTGAGGCTCAGAGAAGTTAGTGAGCCCTGAAAATAATGCACGTATCACTATGAACTTTATGACTTAATACCCTTCAGAAATTCCATTTAGGCCTCGTTCTACCCTACACGTGTAAATGCCAAAGAGGACTGTTCGCCTTGATAACATTCCAGCTGGTACTATAACTCGCGCCCACGTCATCGTCGAGGTGGCATGTTTGGCGAGCAGACCTGCTCGCGTTGCTTCGCTTTGACTACTCCTTGTGCATGGAGACAACCATTTCATCACTCGCTCTGTTTTTCCCCTCTATCGTGGAGCACTCCATTTCTGTAATTTCCGCGCATTGTATCGCTAGACGGCGCGCTTCACTCTCGTCGATTTACTTTGAACGGGCGGAGAAAGTCATATCAGTTGTCGTGCAGATGAGCTTCGAGGCATACGTCTGTGAACGTGTCACTGTCGTAAACTGATAGAAGTTGACTCTGGTGGTTCGTGGAGAGAGGTATTGTCCTCGATAACCATCTCGCTTCTACACGTCTTTCTGGGGAAATAAGGGCATATTTTGTTACTATCGGAGAATCAGACTTGTTTGTACACAAAGTAGATCACATGTACAGCAGTTGATTGAGGCTACAAATTCACAGCACGGAATCTCAACTCTCTACCGGAGAGATTGCTCTGCGTCTTGTACCCAACTCACATTTCTTCATGGCGTCAGCTGTCTGAACAGAGAGGGTGAATTTTTATCGTCAAAATCACGAATTATTTCTTCATCCATCGCCATATGGATGAAAGGATAATGTCTTGGAGACCAGACTCCACTCCATGCGTCTTATTTTACATTCTCAGAAGTTCAATCCTCTGTTTCGATTGTTCTAGCACCCGGAGGCTAATGGAACTTTGATGGGCTCTGCGCAGATACTGACTGGGTTAATCGACCGTGAAGATGTCTAAACTTGCGATTGTTCTGTGTCTCGGGTTTCTGCTGCTCATTGTCTCACCATGCGAGTGTGTTACAATACGAGGAGAGAAAGTAGACGAAGTAACGGAGGTGATGGAAAGTATGACTGCCAGAGCCAAGGGTGCACATGTGCGAGAGGATGGTCATGCAGTTTCTCAAGGGCCTCTTAAGTGTAGTTGGCTCTACTCATGGTGTTGGTCCGATTGGGATTGCTGCACTACCTGGTGTAACGGATACTGCTATTGCCTGCGGAACTACGATTGGTGCTACTACGATTACGAATGCTGCTCAGGATGGTGCGATAGATACTATGGGTGTATTAACTACTACAATCATCAGCCGAACAATGGGGCGGCTGCTCTGTCTTCATCAGTTGAAGGCGCGAGGAAGCCGGTGGAGAGAAATTAATAGAACTGTATGCTATTTGATAGAAAGATCTCCTTCTCTATGCATGTAAATTCCAGCCCTCTGTTTTTACTGTCACACAAAAGTTCATAGTGAAGGGGCAATAGTAATATGACAAAAGGTATTGGAAGATCCCATCTAGCGGTATTAATCGTTAACGGATGAGTCCTAACGGGTAACATGGGCCTGCCCAAGTAGCATGACTCGAGAAATCGGCCGTTCTGCACCTAAAATATCCATATATATTCAGAGTAAAGGGGGATAAACTTCCTGCAACGCGCTTGCGTTCTATACTTACTACTTCGTTTTGTATGGTTGGCTATGGCCGTCGTCTGTCCGACAAAAGCAAAGTGACACTTGTATATTTGTGTAGCAGGGTACGCTTGTAAATTTGAATATCTTCAGAGCAATTTCTGTGTAGGCTTTTACCATCCATTTTGCAGGTTTTTGCGACTCGTGAAGAAATTCAGTATGTTTTATATTGCATTTATGTCGATGGTCTCTTTGATGCACATCAAGCTTTATCGACTAAAATTTGTTTCTACAGAGATGGTTAGCAGTATAAAAGTGAGCAAATTTTGGAAGAAAGGTAAAATTTTTGAAATGATTACTTAGCAGAATGTAAGCTCTGACTTTATTGCTTCACTGACTATGGAGTTTTGGGACTCAATATCAGCTGCGTGTCTCAGTTACTTTCAAACGTCCATGTAAGGCATTCCAAATTCACCATAAGACACTAAATTGAACCAAACTTTTTGTCATTGCAAGATCTTTTGAAATTTTTGAGAACAATCCGTAATACTGTACCATAATGGCTTCTGACTGTTTAGCCCGAAATGTTACACTAAATTTATTCAGTACTGACCTATTATAACTGTGTTATGACTTCATGGTCATATCAGAACTCATCAGATATCTAACATAGTAAGGTGTTTACACCATTAGTATTATTATATCTTACGATCATACAATTGTTGCCATCTCTACTCATACCATATAACGAGCAGTGTACTGTGCAATTCTGAATTTGCCGAGGAGACAAGTAACTTCAGTGCTCATAAGGTCCCCGGCGATAAACGATGTGATTGGACTTGAGATTTGATCACTTCCCATATGGCTCGTAGATAGTCCGAAGTCCGAAAACAGGTAGATAAATACGGATCACTGCATTATTTTCATATGCATTACAACTCGTCAACCACTCTACCGTCAACCACTCTACCGAGATACAGGATATTCGGCGAGATCTTAGCTAAATAACGATCTTGTAGTTACTCCTCAGCAAACCAAGAGACGGACAATCATGTGCTATGGCAGATCATTCTGGAGAATATCCGAAATCTACTCCTAAACACAACGTCACACACCTCAACTGATGACGTCGCCATCAGATGTGCACTTCAGGTTACCACTCTAACTTGAATCGGTGGAGAAGAGTTGAAAATGCCTCGTCGTTAACAGCGAAAGCGTCATCCTGGCACAGATCCACGATAAGACTGTCGATTCTGTCGTAAGTAACATGCTCCATCGCGAAAGCGTGGACAAGAAGGTGGAGTCCATCTTCCTTAGTCTCTTCTTCCTTGGACAGCGAGTATTTCTCGACGATCTCGTCCCTCGGTCGCCTGAAGATGACCCCGAGCGAGAGCTCAGAACGTTGGACCCACAAACTTTGTGCTATGGGCAGGTTTGGATGAAGTTCACCTGCTACAACCTTCTTATCGAGCTCCACGAGTTTGTCAAACAGCTTGGTGGCTATGGCCTCGGTGTAGACCGCCTTGACCATGAGGTCATTGTAAGAGTTGCGGCTCAAGTAGTCCCAGAGGAACACAGAGGCGAGACCGCTGCGAGAGCCAGCGAAGGTGGTGTCAGGAGTTCCGATGTACTCAGGCTTCTCTGGCGGCTTCAGCTGGAATTTGGTCTTGGTCATGTACACGCCAGTGGGCACCGGGGCTCCGATCCATTTATGTCCACTCATGCCGATGGAGAAGACGAGCTCAATATCACTGAACTCTTCCTCTCCTCGCATGGAAAAGTCGAACTGCGGGATCGGTTTGTCTGTCTGGAACATACCATTCGCGTTTGCCATTTTCAGGAAAGGCATATACGCTGCTCCCAAGGCCCCATCCACATGGAACCAAAATCCACGGCGTGCAAATTCTTGTTTTTCTCCGTTGGCATCCGTGTAAGTCCTTACCACTTCAAGAAGATTGTATTTCTTGAAGATGGGAAGGAGCTTGTTGGCAGCTCCCTGTATATCATCATAGGCACCCTTGAACGTGGTGCCGTAGTTGAAGCAGACCAGGGCTGGATAGCCAAGGTTGGCGAAAAACTCCACCAGAACTGCCAGAGCATCGATATTGACAGTTCCATCCAAGTTCGTAGGCACTTGCTTGGGCCACTGGCCTTCTGCCGTCGCAACTTCAGGTGGGACCTTCAGCCCCAGCTCCGTGGCCACATCGTAGTACGTTTTTATGTTCAGGATCACCATCGTCTTCTTCAAGGAATAATGTGCATCGTTTGAGAAGAAGCAAAGTGGGGTCTTGGACGCTCCAGCATCCGACCTTTGTCTGGAATCTGTATTTATTGCCAAATCTGCAATGAAGTACCTGGGCTCTGGTTTTATGGTGGAACCTTTGGGAGCCTCGTCTATAAGCATCACCTTGCCAGCAAGGTAGTCACGACCATTCCACATGCCATACAACGTTCCCTCGGTGCATCCCATCGAGAGGACGAACCCCCAATAAGAGCAAGGATTTTGCGGTTTGGCCATCAAATTCGGATCCTCGGGATCTTTTCTTTGCGTGTAGTTGTCGTGAGGCCAGTCAGCTCTCCAGAGAGCTGCGAAGTAGTCCAAAACTGCACGCTCCATGAACTTGGTCTGATTCAGGAAGCTTCCGGTGGCAAAAGGGTCTCCGATGTTATTCACCTGTTGGAACAATTTGTCCGATGGACTCAAATGTCAGAAGGAAAGCGAGAACAGATACTCTCACAGGGATGTTCAGAGTAAAGGTCAATAAGACATAAAATCGTCACAGTGCCTATATAATATAAATGCTTCCAGATCTTGAACCTTTGAAGGCCTCTCCTGATTTCGAGTTACAGCTTCCAGAATATCAGCTTCATTATTTTTCTCATTCTTGGCACGCGCAATGAAAAGTCATCACATACAAAGAGAGAAATTTGATCTCAACAATCCAAATTTGCTGCAAAGATGTTACAAAACTGACCATCGAGTACACTCAGATAAATGAAACTTGGTCGGGGAGTAATTATGCAGATGCAAAACTCTACTGATCAAGAAGCTCAACGACGTGTTAGATAGCAAACCAAGATCGAAAGATGTTCCCTTCAATGCTGGTGATAAATTATGCTCGTTCAGCTGATGATAGGACAAGAAAATACAGCAGTGGCATCTGGATGCAGTGAAGAAATCCTCACATGGGTGTCGAGGTAGTGTGACAGGTGCGAGAAAGAACAGGCCATATTGGCTTGGAATCCCAGGAAGTTGGACTTGACTTTGTCATGATATGTTCGCGCAATTTCCAACGCTTTCTCGCGTCTCTCCTGAGGGACTTTGGCGCCATCCGGCTGCTGCAGCTTGAAGAGCTCATACTCACACTTCGCCAGAAGTCGATCGTTATCGGCACTCACTTTAGTAGAGCTCTCTCGTAAGTTGCCGAGAGGGACGATGTCGCAAATCTCTTCGAGGTTTCCAAGAAGGCCAGGAGTATGTGGATACTCTTCGCCTGGATGCTTCCACGGATGTGTGAGAAAGTTCCCGTTGCCAGTAAGCTCAACGCCTACATTGGGAGGCTTGTGAAGCGGCGGCTTCGGGCAAATTCCGACAGTGACTTTGGCACCAGAGCTGGCCATCTTCGGGCGCTTGATAACGGAAAATGATGAAGTTGGCAACAGAAACTCTCTTCCTTAGGATCACATCAAGTACTTGTGCCCACCCAAAGAGCTGTGGGTACAAATGCGATACAAAGATGGACCAGTGGTGGGTTGGCCACCGGAAGGACTTAATACTCCAGATCGAGGACCCGAGGCACACTGCTATGCATCGGAGCTGCTCTGCTTATGTAGTAGTTCTGGAGAAGTGGGGACTTAGATCAGAGTCTCCTACAGCAATAATTAATGTGCATGGATTTGGTACTATCCAATAGAAATGACTCCTTTTTTCCTCCTCGTCTGATTCGTTGTTCACAGGTCTCATCGGCTCAAGGATGGAGAGGGTTATCAAGGTCGGTGCTAAAGCATTGTGGAACCAATTATCAAAAACCAAGTATGGAATGCTCTGTGGCAAAGTGGTGGATAAAGAGAAAGAAGGTAAAGATGAAACCTGACGAAATTCCTTCAGTGCGATGAATTTAAGCCGTTACAGATTGTTTCTGCATTATTTTTGTTTTACTGCTTTCAAATTGAGGAATGGTTCTGATTCCCGGCAGTCAACTGCATATTTTTCTTCGGATATTTTGGCAAACAGCGATCCCGGCCAAATAAGATTCTTATCAGCTTCGATTTTGCTTTGCTGCTCACTCTTCAGTACCCCTTATGAATTTTTTGATTATTGGTATGTTAAGTCTGAACATTCGGGGAATAAACTTGGTCTCAGCTTAGCTATACTCGAATTCTTCTCCATGAAGAAATATTCTAGGAAATCCATTCGGTACTAGTAAGCTCGGTTTCAAATGTAAGGCAGCGCATCATCCATAAAATTTTCGATTTACTTTTCAGAACTTCGGTTTCTCCTCTAGCCGAATCATTACAGGTTCTACAATGCATTTCAGTCAGAAATAAAAGTAGGAATGATACTGTTCAGTTTCCATAAAGGCATCTCTTCCTGTAAAAATGTTGCCCTGAAAACTGAGGAGAAAATTTCTAAAGATGAGGGATGTTATTTAAGAGATGAATAATCAATCGTTGGTCATCGATCAAATAGAAGCGTGGTCTTCAGAATTTGAATATTCTCATGAGAGTGTAGAATCAAACCTCAAAATTCCGAACGCTCAAAATCCCTGAACCCTGGTCACCAGCATTTTTTATCCAATTTACTGGATCGGTTCGATACATTCTTACGGCCTTCTGTGGTCGCGAGAAGTAACCATGGGATACGAGGGTTGTAGCCAGAACCGTGCCATCGTCCTCTGCAGCATCCCTATCGCTGTGACGACGCTACTGGATATGATAGCAGTTGCTGGAGCCTCAACGCTTTGGCTGTGCGTCAAGAGCAAGGCGCAGCGTTGGAAGACCTATTCATTAGGCATAAGACGTCACTGTCCAGAGTGTCACAGTATGTGGTCCATGGTAGGAGAAGATCGAGGGGTATTGGAACAGACTGATCCTCAGCGAGTCTCACCTTTTGCAAATGGCTTCGTATTTGTTTCTTCTATGAAACTGATCAGGGGTGTATATATTTTAAAAGTACAATCATCTAGCCATATTTGTCCTCTTGTGCCAGAACACTTCACGTGATTAGGAAAGGGATAGGAAAGCCTCCATCTTTAACAAACACAAAGGATTTCAAGAGCTACCTTGCTACAGGTCACTGTACGACTTTGCTGATGCACTAGGTTTAAGAATGAATTCGTAAGTCTACGCTTGACAACGCTTGAACGTGGATGTTTGGCCTCAGAACACCCGCCGGCCTACGTCGAATCTGTAAGTTGTTCGTCAGAGATAGTGCCTTCTATTCTGTACCATACGCATCAGGGTAGGATTCATCTGCCCTTTCCTGAAAAAGAACAGACTCGAATATTGTGGGCTGTGCCTTCATAAGCAGATGTACTACCATCTGTGATGGTAGACCGCAACCTGGAAGACCGGCCTAGCAGCAAACCGGTAGATTTGTTTCTTCTACCGATTATATACAATGGGAAGCTTCACGATTCCATCTTGCAGTAATCAAACCGTATTCTTCACTCATGGATTGTTTCTGGTGCCCCATTTCTCCAAAATTAATCTATTAGTCTTTAAACCCGATTGACGATCCAGAATAACGAGGAAGAAGTTTTAGAGTCGTAGGTTCATACTCAAAGTTGACTCGGCTACATTTGATCGGGATCATACATGCATTATAAATATGTAATGACCGACATATGCTCAATGTAACCGTCTTGTACTCGGAATATGAGGGAAACTACAACTGAACTGGAAATGAAATTGATACTTGACAAAAGCAGGTGAATGCATGCATGCATGCATTGCCTTGAAAGTCGAAGAAATATATTCCGCAGAATTACTTTCGATCCAAAGACAGACCTTTGTCTCAGAAAGTACGTCACCGTCTGTCTTTTAAAAAACCTATTCTGCTCGTTGTTCACGAGCACCCAGCATGACGAAAGTACTTTAACATGTGTATTCAAATCTACCCACTCCATGTGGCAGAAGATGCTGCCTGACCATAACCCGTACAACCCATATCCACACCGCACCATACCTCGCAATTGTAACTCGCAGTCATGTATCTTCACCCTAACATGTAAGAAATACCTCAGTCCCAGTCAGTTCCAGAGTTTACTAGGACACCCCTTTCATAGATACACTGGCTAGAAGCTCCACGATCCGACCATGCGTCACTGAACGGAATGAAATCCCTCCGTAAGTACGAGTGTTTACAAGAACATATCCACTACGTTGTGGAACTAAGAAGTGTAACGTTCGATCCTCCCTTAACCTCGACTATGATGGCAATGGCAAGTGTTATCTAAGAATCTGGAAAGCACCAAGAGAGGGAATGATTGCAAACGTGCTCGATATATTGCGTCGTACGTTCACATGCATTTAAACCCCAGCAATGGATGTGATCAGGGTGCCGTGCATTTCACATTCAGGAAAAACACTCTTTCTACCTCAACCCTCTTGCTACTCATTCCTCTCTTGGACGAGCAGACATCGACGAAGCAAGCCAAGCTTATCATGATCTAAGGGCTGTTGCAGTGGTTAATGGTTTGTGGAGCTCCTTCGTGATTCTTTCCTCTATGGCTTACAAATTCGGGCTCTCGCTAATTTCTCCTCCATTCTGACATTACGGGCCCTGGGATATCCCTTTAAGAACCTTGCCCAGTCACGACGCACTGCGGTTTTCTTGCAACCCAGAGAGATTTACAGTTCACCAAAATTCCACAGGAACATGATCGGCAGCTCAGCGGTTACCGCCTCTAAAGGTCCATTTACAAGCCTTTGGGGGTTTGTCAGGCAAGCTTAGAAACTATAGTAGCCGTAGATAGGAAGCCTAGATACAGTATTCTATTCAAAGGATGAGGAACTGGAATTTCCGCATTTTTGTTCAACATAATTTCCAGAAAAGAAGAAAACATTGCAAAGCAAGTAATTTCTGTTCAAATCTACTTGGACTTTGAGGAAGGTTTCTTGACTTTCAGGTGAATGCTTTCAAGCATTGCTCTGCATGTTTGGAAGCTCGAATCAAACTCCTGTGCACGCAGGACTATCATCGTAATACTGTCATAGGATCGATTCATGTGGACATCACAGCAGGCTCACGGCAAAGAGCTTCATCGTTAGCAAACACCGTTTCTAATAATGGACCATTGCCTTCTCTCGAATGAGCGATCGTTGGACAATTACTTTTCACATCAGTTTAACAGGACGCTTCTACCTTGAGTGTGAAACTAGAAATTTGAAGGATATGCTGGAATCTGCCCAAATTCAAGAAGTCAATATAAAGTGCAGTCAATTATGCAGAAGAATCCCGGATGTGCTCTTGATAACTGAGACAAACGCAACGGTGAGTCCCGGGTAAGCACTTCAAAAATATGTGTGTGCACTGAAAGTAAGTATGGCATTGTTATGATTCAATCGTGACTTGTTAAATTTCTGAAATTTCTGTCGGGTTTGTTAGTTCCTCCATTAAGCGCTCTTCAGTGTGCTTGATTTCTACAATGTCTACAAATTTCATCTCTAGGCTGGAGACTGTGATTCTGTACCTCTGTAACAAAAAGTTTAGTGCTTTAGCATGAGCGTATGGCTTGGAAATTTCCAAGTAAACATAATAACAGGAGCTTGAAGTGCAATTTCTGATCCGTCTATTAGTCCGTCCAATTTATTATACGTGGCTGAAGAAGAAGCCTAGTAGGTGCAAGCGTCAGAGACCCATAATCTAATCCACCGATACGACGAATTCGTCGTATTTTCTCACCACTCCCTGTTCATCCCGTTCAGGATAATACGCGAAGATGTACCCTACACGTGCCCATCTGAACATGGCATCCATGCAATCTCCTTCTCTCGCTCCCCATGGCTTACACGTATGAATTTAGGCAATAATATATTTAAGCATCTGAGACACATTACGGATTTGGTAGAAAGTGATACATACTCTTTGGTCACGTTCTGCATGCTGTTGGTTTTCATTTGCGTCAACAAATTACAAGGCCATATATCATATTCGAATAACTTAATAATCAATGGAGGAACGACGTTAAAATTACACCAGCACTCCTCACGACCTCAAACAAAACACACATTGAGATCTCGTTTATCGTGATGCCAAAATAATTTGAATGGAATATTTTTCATTCCGATCAAATTGTCTATTGTCGAGGAAAATCATGCATGCACAAACATGAGAGCTCCAGATTGTCTTCTCTCCCAAAGGAGAAGACGATTTGGAGCCTGAACATGTTCTGAATATATCACTATCCTATGCACGAGTGATCAAGGCTCGTTCTTACTTCTCATAGCCTTTTGATTGAAAATCATTTCAAGTCAATAAACTAAAGTACAAGTGAAGATTAAAATCTTCAATTTACATGAAAAGTGAAGTTCAAGTTTTTTTATTCTATTATATTCAGAATTTGATGGTGTTTTTGGGAGCAATCATTTAAAGAAATAGAGAGTTTCAATGTTATAACTAATCAAAGATTTTAAAAATTCTATTATTCAAAATTTGTAATTTTTTTGGGATAAAATAACGCTAGTTCTGACATGGTGAATATTTTGGGATTAATTTGCATCGCTTATATAAATTTTTATTTATTTATATATTTATATTATAAGGATCGAAATTTTCAATTTCATTATATA